AGTTCACCCAGGGGAACAGGAGAACCAGTGGCTTCCAACAGCTTCTTCAAACAGCGTCTCTAGCAGCGTCTCAGCAGTTTCTCCCATTCTACCTTTTATGCTGCTGGCAACAATCCTCACTCGGGTGGGCCTTCCATGCCCAACACCATGCTAGTGCAGTTCCTCTGGGTGTAAGACGTTGACCACCAGTTAGCTAGCTACTGCAGAGATGGACTGATGGAAAGTGTAAATTTGGACCACATGACCACCACCTTTCACAGGGATGCAGATGTCAACACCAGCAAACTGCTCCTCACCCAGAAGCAGAACAGACTCTAGTAATGTGTACTGCAGCATACAAAACTCCATCTTCTCCAGGGGACACCCAGTCATGTTGATGAGCCATTGTCCCATTTGCAGTGTGCCACTGCTGTGGCTTCTTATAGCCAGAGACTTGCACCAACTGCAGCTGGTCCTTGGACGGCATGGTTGCTAGTGTAGATTAGAGCTCTTCGTTGCATTGCGCCACAATAAGAAAAGGGTGTTTGGTTTTTCTAAACCACTGCTGGTGCTCAGAAGCAACCAGGACAGTGACGGCCTAGACTCCTTCTGAAAATGGGAATATCCAGGCCAGCATGGGAGGGTCAGGAGTACGAAGCAGGGGCACAAGGTGTAGAGAGGGTGCTGTGTGATTGGGGCAGCAGGTGCAAGACCCCGGAGGACACAGGAGGACAAGCTCACCCCTGTCCTGCCAGAATCACCCCAGCCCTCATCACCACTGTTAGGTCAGGTAACAGCTGGCGCTGTGGATGCTGGCACTAGATGCTGGGTCTTGCCCCTCCACAACTGTTTTCATCCTCCCACTTACTCTCTAAAGTAGATCCTCAGCCAGGTAGGGTGGTGCACACCTATCATCTCAGTACTCTCAGGAGGCAGAGGCGGGAGGATTTCTGTAAATTCTAGGCCAGCCAGAATTACATTGGGCCATCAAAGCCATCTATGGTACATGGTGGGACCCTGTCTCAAAGAACCAAAAATGAATAAAGTAAGTAATCTTCTTAAAAAAATAAATTGTGTTATTGAACAATTTTAAGTTGGGGAGAGATGTGTTTATACTGTAACAGTCAGCTTTCAGGCAGGTATAGTGGTGCATACCTATAATCTCAGGAGGCAGGAGGATAGCTGATTTGGGACAAGCTTGAACAATTTAGCAAAATACCATCTCCAAGATTCACCTGGAGGGTGAATGAGATCTCAGGATCAGGCACAAAGACACACCATCATGTTGTATTGAAAAGGAAAAAAGACCAGCAGATTGAGAAGCAGCAGGCAGTGCAGGAGGAACAGCCCAGGAGAGGATAATGCCATACTGAGAACTTCCTCAAGCAAGAAGCGCTTGATCCTGACTACATTTTTCTGGTGGCTCATCACCGAGTCACAGGCTGATTGCTCTTCTTGCCTCACTATAATTTCCTCTCTAAGCCTTGATGTCTTACTCTAACCCAATCATGCTGTTCAAGAACACTGAAAGACTTCTCATTTCAGCACTGCACTGGCCGTGTTCACTTTGGTCTGTTGGACTTTTCTCTTTTAACAGTTACATTTCTTTCTTAGCGTCTTCAAATACATCAGCTATGAATCTTTGAAGCTGAAGCTCAAATGTGATCTTCCACAGAGCCCTTGGCCCACATAGATGTTTCTATTCTAAAAAAAAAAAGTCAGTAAAACTGCCAACCTTTTCATTCCATCCACTAAATATGTATTTTTTTAAACATCAGCACCAGGCACCACACTATGACTTAAAACTACAACAAAAAGCACTATGGTCACTGCTTTCTATAGTTTAGAATGGAATTAGTCTGTTCAATCCTCTTCAAAATACATTCAGGAAGAAAGGACTTTGTTTAGTACCTAATCCTGAGTCAGTCTTTCAACCATTATTTCTCTGTGCGCTTATTTTAGCCTGCCCCACCCAGTTTGGTCATGACTTGCCACACCTTTGGCTGCTGATTAATTCACGAAAGTCTTGGATCATAGCTCCTCTGGACAGCAGAATGTTGCTACTCCTACCAGTCAGCAGTGTTAGGGTGAACATAGCCACAGGACGTACATTTCCCAAAGTCTGAGTTGAAAACATATTCAAAATAACATGAAGAGGATTTACGTGTGCTCCTGGGGTGTACTTCGGGGCAGTCTTTGGTATTTCAAGCATACTCCCTTTTAGTATCTCTTTGCCAATCTCCCACCCCATTTTAAATCTATTTGCATCAGATGCAACCTCTTCATCCCTAAATTAGGACCTATTACAATGCTATCATTTAAAGTATGATTTAAAAGTATACAGTCAGGATTTAATCAAATTTTTGAGGTTATCATAGAGGGTATCTGTAATCTTTTTTTTTTTTTTTTACTATTAAAAAATCTTTATGTATTTATTTGGTACAGGGTCTTGCTACACAGCTCAGACTCATAATGATCCTCCTGTCTCAGTCTCCCCAGTGCTGGGATTATAGGTATGCACTACCATGCCTGGTTTCAATGGACGGCTCCACGTGGCGTGTGGTGCCTGGGATCAAGCCCTGGTCCTTGTGCTTGTCAGGTAGGTGCTTAGACCACCAAGCTATTTCTCCAGCTCTGTATTCTTTAAATAAGGAGAGGAAATAGCAAAAGCCTCTATTAGCCAAAGTTTATATTATTCCTCAAGAGTGAAAATGGCCCAGTTCTGCCAAAAAAAAAGTGAAAATGGCAGTTGCTTTGCCAGTTACACTTAGAGAAATATAGTCTAAAATAACTTTTATAATAAAAATAAGTCCAAAAAAAACTGAAGACTAAGCTGTATCGAGAAGTTATAAAATGATCCAGGGAGGAGGTAAATACTCAACTGAGACTTGATGGATCTTGAGCGTAACTAGTATCATAGAAGTGCAAGTTTAGAATGGCTAATGTGGAGGAAACAGGGAATAATAGGGGATCGGTAATCATCTCCAATCAAACCCTAAAGGGCCCTGCAGGTGACAGGGAATTTCTGAAAAAGTTGTTCATGATCACATTTTCACATTAGAAAGATTAAATAGAATGGAGGTTGGACTGAAGTAGGCAACAACCGGAGGACACATAACACTGCAGTAACCCCAGGGCGATGAGTCAGGCAGATGAGGACTAGAAGGACTGAAACAGTAAAAATGGAGGTTAAACAGAGGGACGGATTGAGAAATATGCAGGGGGACAAGTCAATAAACTTGATATTAGAATAGAGGGGGTCAAGGAAAAGTAAGAGAGACTTTTGGATTTCTGACTCTGGCTACTCCACACTAGCTGTTCTAAACTTATAATAGGGTACATGCATTATATAAAATCAGAAACAGAAATGGCCTAGGTAGCAGGTGGGGTGAGGAGAGAAATGGCACTAGGAATAAATTTTGGTAAAGAAGCCTGGGATAGCTGGGCGTGGTGGTGAATGTCTATAGTCCCAGCACTCAGGAGGGTGAGGCAGGACAATCATTGTGAGTTTGAGGGCAGCCTGGGCTACAAAGTGAGCTCAAGGTCAGCCTGAAGTTCATAGCAAGACCCTGTCTCAAAAAAAAAAAAAAAAAAAAAAAAAAAAAAAAAAAAGGCCCGGGATATATTTCATGAAATATTATGAAATCTAAACAAAGATGCTATTGCTTTAAAGGGCTTGTTCCAAAGATGTGTATGTACATGGACATCCTTGCATACTGGATACCTCATGGGCTAAGTCTTTAAAGGGAAAGAGGCTGCTCAAGGAGATGTGCTGAATTATATAGAAAACAGAAGAAAACAGAGTGCTGTGAATAGAGGGCACTCATGGAAAAAATCAAGTGCATCACAGAAGAGGCTGGAAAATCAGGAGGAAATACTGTTCTCATTACCTACAGCAACGTAAGTTTCCCCCTCCCTTCCACTGGTCTCTTAGATCTTATGGATAGGAACTGCGGCTTCATTTCATTTTCCTTGGTGACTAATTCAACATAGTGGGAAACGTAGTAAATGCTCAACAAACTGATTCAGTCCAAGCACATCCACGCACTTGTCTTTGCTTTCAATCAACCTGAAAAGTTTTTTCATCGTATTTCTTCTGATAAAACTTTCAGCGTGCCAACGAATTCACTGAAATCCATTTTTTATGATTAATACGTTGTCTGCACCAGTTTAACGAGTTCCCATACTTTAATTTTGAAAGACCTTGCTAGTAATGATGGTGACAAGTTTATCACTCTTCCTAAGAAACATTTTTTCAAATTATTATTTTCGGTACCGGGGATTTAACTCAGGATCCCGCGCTTGCCAGGCAAGTGCTTATTCTACTGAGCTATCTCCCCGGCCCCTTCAAATTGTTTTAAAACAAAGCTTGGTCCGGTCTCAGCAGCCACTCTGGAATTCATGACGTGTTCGAAACCACGGGAAAAGGAGGCAGCCGCGTGTGGCTGACAATTAACTATGAATCCGATCTGTGTGAGTAAAGCGCTCATTTCATTACAGGTCAGGAAACCCCCGGCCGAGGACGCCGCAGTCCAGCCCGGGGAGCCTCGCAGCGGCTCGGCTGCGCAGACCCGGACAGCGCGGGGTGCTGCGGGCTGCACGAGCCGGGTGACACCCGGTACCGGTCTTCTCAAGCGACAACACCCAACCTCCTCTTGTTCCTTGGTGAAGCCGCATTCCGAGCTCAGAAAGTGCCAACAAACGGCCAAGAGCACCACAATAACCTCGCCCAGCTGAACCACTACCCCCAGTCCCGGCCACGCCACGCGCAGGCCGGTAGAGCTGCCGGCGGGCCCACTGCACAGCCGGGTTCAGAGAGAAGGCGATTCAAGCGCCTACTCTCGCGGGATCTCGCGCCTCCCCGAATCCCCGCGGGAATAGATAATGCGGGTCTGAAAGCCGGGAATTCGCGTGCGGGGGCGGGGTCAGCACGGTGAGCCCGGGGGCGGGGCCGTCAGGGGCGGGGCGTACAGGGGGCGGGGCTCCCCGGACCTGTTGATCGCAGGTGTGGGTGCCCCGGCTGGCCCCTGCGAGCCGGGCGTGTGCGCATGCTCGGCGCGCCGGGTCGGGCTCTGGGCTCGCGTCCCCGCCGCCTCCGCTCCAGTTCCCGGTGAGCCTCGGCGCGGTGGCGGTGTCCGTGTGTCAGCCCGGTGCAGGCGTGAGGCGGAGCCGGCCCAGCGCGAGGCAGCCCAGTGGGAGTGTGTGTGAGGCCCACATTTCTCTACCTGGATCGCACGCTCCCGGCGCGGCGAGAAGAGAGCTCACGGTAGGTCCCCGAATTAGATCGGGATGGAGATCCGAGGACCCGCGACCCTCCCGGGCCCGACGGGGCGCTCCCCGCCCCGCCTCGGCTCGGTGCGGAGGCTCCCGGTCCGGCCCTGCGCGCTGTCCTGCTCGGGACGACGGGACCGGACGGGACGGGAGCCTGCGGAGGGCGCAGAGCCCGGGGTCGCGGGGAGCGCGGGGCTGGCGCGGGAGCGGCGGAGCCTGCGTCCGGCTGCACCGCCCGGCACCGGCTTGCGGGTCGGGCCGGCCGCCCAGGCTGGCCGGGCACTGCTTCTGGGGGGATCCAGGACGGCTGTGTTCCCTCCTTGGACAGGAGAGTGGAGCGGCTTCGTGAGGACTTGAGAGTGGGTCGCTTGCCAGGGTGGCAGACGTGGAGCGTTAGTGTTGAGCGTCCAGCCCGCGGCTGGCGGGGCGTTTACTAGCCGCCGCCGCTGCCGGCGAGCAGGAAGTGCTGGCGCAGGTGTGCCGGGAGGGGCTCGGAGCCCGCCATCCGAGCCGGCCGAGGTTTGTTATCCCGCTACAAGGTTTTCTTTCTTCATTGCTGAGCCTGATTAAGCAAAATGAACCACATGGCTTTATCTGTTAGGCAACAAAGTTTTCCAAATGTTTTCTTACCCAAGGTCATGTTGGGGGTATGCTTAACTGTACATTTGGGAAGTTCTTTGTAACGAAGATCTTATTCGCTCTTAGTTCGTTTTTAAAAGAAAAGCCTGGCTGATTTTCGGTACTGAAGAGGAGTAGTAAGTCCTGTTGCAAATAAACTTTGGATTAAATTGATACTTACTCGCTCCTTCACTTTTTGTTGTATGTTCCGGGGTAATGCTCTCGGAGGCAAAAATCTTCATCCCCCTGAAGAGAAATTTTAAAAGAATAAAGTGAGCAAAACTTTTTCTGTAAAAGTACTATATGATCCGTTGTTGTCACAAGAATTCCGAATGGATGTACTGTAGAAAGGAGGTATAGTCTGAAACACAAGGTTCTTGTTTTATATTTTAGAGGGTTTTGTGATTGCTGGCTATGAACAATGGAAGTGATTTCTTCAAAGTTATTTATAAATGAGACTAACAGGTAGTTGTGTATTTTTTTCTAAAGTGTAAAAAAATAAGAGACCGAGACCAGGCCTTTCTGTTTTCCTTTGACTTTTTAAAAATTTGTAAAATTGTAGTTGTATACAGCACATGGAACTTGACACAATGATTGATTCATAAATAATATTTTTTCTGAAAGATCCAAAATTGCTTTTTTAAAAGATACCTGTTTTATTGGTGTGATGCACTTTTCTACCTGGTTTATTCTTTTGCTTAAGAAAAGTCACAATGTTCTTATGATTTATATGATAGGATTCAAGATCTTTTGTTTAGTGTCCAGTAAGTGTTACGGTGTGTAGTGTCAAGAAATACAATTTTAATGCCATGTGGCTTAGCATTTTTTTTTATTAAGACAAAGTCAAACCTTGGAAATGGTTATCTATTTTAAGGTGGTGTACACCTTTAGCAGTCAAAATGAGAATGACTTTTTCAACTGGAGATTTTTTGGAGCTCACCTTCTGGGCTAGAGGAAACATTACCCTATAATTTTCCAAAAATATATTTGAGGAGGTGAATTAGACTCTCCTGCAGAGACATTTAGTTACTAAAATACGTGGCAGCTTTAACTGGAGGGAATTTCTTAGTTGTAGACCCTGAAGACAATTTACAGAGAGCTGGCTTATTTTGAACAGTGCTAAGTGTGAAGCTCTTCTTCATGAGCCCTTATTTTAAGAAAATATACTAATTTGTCTAATGTTTGAAAAGTTAGGTAAGAATTGGTGGTGATGCAAAGATAGCATTATTGTATTATTAGTTTTATAATGAGGAAATTGAGATAATTGGGCTTTACAGTGTATGTACATAATAGGAACAAGAAATAAATGGCAACTTTCTCTGCCACAACCTGAAATATAAGTTTATGCAACATAAATCTTATTTCACTCTTAGCTGTTTTAATTAACAAATTAGTTATCTAAGGTGTGTTTACAAAATATCAATATCATTTACAAACATTTGTAAATAACACAAATATTTTGTGTATTTACAAAATATCAATGTATTTTGTAAATACTTTGAGGATTTTAAGAAACACTGAGTTAGAAGTTTTCCCCCTACATTTTGTGCTTTTCAAAGCTAGCAAGTGTGTTGTAAAGTTATTGAGCTGCTATTGTGTGCTAGGCATTACGGATACAAATCTATTTAATAAGACCATGGTCAAGTTGTCATAAGAAAGAATTCTTCCTCTTCTTAGCCTCAACGCTGGTTGTTTTCACCTCCACCAACTACACTGAGTTTAGAAAGGTGAAAGTCTTTTATTTCCTTTATGATTCTGTTTCCCTTTTCTTCCTATTCCCCTTGGGATCCTTCAGTTACTCGTGCCACACCCTAAGGTATATTGTGATCTAGCAAAGGGTAGTACTTACTTCATCCTTGTATTACCCCTATTTTGTGTATTCTTTTGTTAGAGAATCATACAGTACTGTGTTTATCTTGTGCAGTACTATGCTGCTGTACAGACAGAATACCTCAGAGAGGTTAGAAGGCGAGGGTGGTAGGTAGATTGCATAGGACCAATATGTCCTGAAGGTTTGTAATGCCGTAAAGTTCAAACACTGATACCTAATCCCAGTGCAATAGCATTAAGAGGTTGGGCTTTGAGGAGTGATTCTGTCACAGAGGTAAAGCCCTGTTTATAGTAACAGTGCCCTTGTAAAAGGCAACAGGGAGCTTGTTATTCTCTAAAAACACAAGAGGTTGCTGCAAGAAAACACTGTCTTTGTAGCAGTGTCAAGCCTTCACCAAGCACCTTTACCTTGGATTTTCTGCCAAGAAAATCTGTGAACATTTCTGTTTATTTATAAATTGGTCAATGTAAGATATTTAGTTATAGCAGCCTGAGTAGGTAAAGTCAAGAGTCTTGTAGGCCTTTATAAGTGAGTTTTGGTTCTTAATCTGGTGTAATAAAGACCTGTAGCAAGTTTATGGGTCAGAGAAATGGTAGAATTTCATTTTGGGAGGATCTCTAGGGCTCTACTTGAGAGTAGACTGTAAGCTGCTAGACAAGGAAAAAAGCCAGGAGAGAATGAAATGGCCAATCCAGCAGTCCAGATAAGATGTAATAATGCTGCCCAACACCAGGATTGTATCAGAGGGGTGGGGAGGTTAGATTCTGACTGAGATAGGAGGGAAGGAGATGTTGAAGGTAACATCCACATGTTTGTTCTGAGCAACTGGGAAGATGAAGTTGCCATCAGCTAAGATGGGGAGAGGGGATAAGCTAAGCACAGGTCACTGTGGGCTTTGTCATGGCAGAGAAATGTTAGGTTATGCCTGCTGTGAAATCATTTTCTATGAAAGTCTTATTTATTTATTTATTTATTTATTGCGGAACCAGGGATTGAACTCAGGCCTTTGCATTTGCCAGGGAAGCGCTTATTCTACTGAGCTGTCTCCCCGGCCCCGGAGATCATATTTTTAAAAAGTGGATACTAGTCTTTCCTTTTCTTTTGGCTTTTACTATGCTTGCCAAAATCTGCTGTTCTCATTTTTGTTCTTTACATAATATTCATTATTCTTTAAAGAAATAAAACACTTCCAAACTGATGAGTGTGTGTACATGCATGTAGGAAAATCTCCTTACTGAAATCTACACAGAATTCCATAGGAAGAGGGAGTTGTAAAATTTACAGATGGCGCTGGGAGAAGTTGCTTGTTTAGCTAGAAGATCAGTGAAACTGCCTAGAAGCCAGCCTCATGGAAGTGGGCCTTCATGGGGTCCTCCGAGCTTTAGTCATTCCCACACCATCTGGTTCTCAGACGTCATGCTAGTTGTGAGGGCATTTTTAAAGCTCTGTGTTCTACTCTGTACAACCAGAAAGTTGGAGGGAAGAACAAAAAGGTCCCCAGCCTTGTGTTTTGTAATCACCAACCTAAAGTAATTAAAAGTATCAGAACAGACCTCTTTGTGGTCAAGCTGTGGCGTGGAATCCGAGGAAGACACACACACACACACACACACACACACACACGAGCTCACTACAAATCATTTGCCATGAATCATTTGTCTTAGTGCTCATGCTACATTCTGGATTCGTGTATGTTCTTTCTCCAGTTAGTTACCAATGGGAATTAGTAAGTATATAAAAGCAACACGAAATATGGTACAGATATTTACTGGACACAAGATAGAGCAAAAAAAAAATTTTTTTTTTCATATTTAGGACGGGGTCTACAAGGTCTCACTGCATAGATCATACTCGTAGTGATTCTCCTGTTTTCAGCCTCCCAAACTCTGGGATTGTAGGCGCGCCACCACACCCATTCTCAGTTGCCATCTCAGCATGCCCCAGGAATGAGGCTGGCACAGCATGGACCCTGGCCACTGTGCTCTGCCTAAGCAGGAAAAAAATTTTAAAACAGTGAAAATTAGTATTTTCATTAGCAGTCGTACAGGATCTTTTTTTGCTGTACTTTTTCTCTTTGTTATGTAAGTTTTCTAATATAATGTTTTCCAGTTCCTTAACTTGTAGAGTGACAGTGCTTTTGTACATCAAAGGTCATATGTTCTTTTTTTGGGGGGGCCAGCTCAGCCTGTCCTAAGAGTGGGACTGGCACGGCATGTGGTGCTGGGGATCGTACCGCGGTCCCCTGTGTCAGCCTAATCTTGCCTAAGTAGGTGCTTTAGACCGCTGAGCTATCTCACCAGCCCCCAAGACTATATATTCTTTACCTATACTTCCCTTACTACAATGCTTCAACTTTATAAAAATGAAGATATTTCATGATAAAAGTTCTTTTTGGTATTACCTCAACTTACTACATCTCCTCTAATTGTTGTCTAGTTATGTAAAATAAGACCTTAGGTACTTTTACTAGTAAGATGCACAGTAGTAACACATGAATGATAACTTTTTTTGGGTTTTTTTTTTTTTTTTGTGTGTGGAACTGGGGA